CACACCGATTTCATTAGTCCAATATCCAACTATCCAACACAAGTAATTATTCGAGAATGTCTGACGATTTCGCTGCGTCCGCTTGCGCTAATAGCCGGACAGTTGTTCAGCTCTGCCAGCACAGACTAGACGGGCAGTTTAGCCTGTTTGCCAAGTCTTGCATGAGGCCTAGACGGATTTTTTATGAAAATCTGTCTAAAAACGTATCAGTTCAGTATCAGAGCCAGCCATACCTGACGTAGGCGAGTCGTGAAGGCGTCTCGCCAAGGCGACGAGGCCCGCTGTCTGAGGCCAGAGTCACTCAGGCGCCGTTGCCGCCGTCAACTTGAAGTGTCCTCGAGAAAGGGCGACTAAAGAAAACGCCTCCTCGGCCAGCACGTTTGTCAGCTTGTCCAGAAACGCGACAGACGTCCGCTCGCCGATTCGCTCCGAGCGCCTCTTCCCTCCAGACGACCGCCAGGCGGCGGAAGATATTCTTTTTTCCATTCTGCCTCGGTTGCCAACAGGCCAACGCGTCCGGCATGGCGACCTGGGAGCTCGCTTCGCGGCTCATCGCAGCCTCCCGTTGCCGGCGCGCCCGACGACCTGGTGGTGCGACGGACACTGGCGTCAACCGGTCGAGTCGGCTTGTTGCTGTGCCAAAGGTGTCGCGGTCAGAAACACCCACACGTAGCCACGGCAACCGTTTGAAGTAGCCATCAGCGTACGATTGGCGCCACATTTTGACGTCGGGCCAGAAGCGAGGCGGCCTCGGGGACGGCGTGAACGGCCGTGAACGCAATTATGCCGTCGTGGAGCCCTTTAAGACGGGTCTACAACAGCGTCGTTGTCACGGCAACCAATGGTCCGGATGAACGTCCGAGTGAAGGTGTGTGCCCGAGGCGGTTAGCGTCGGTCACCATTTGGGCGTCGGAGGAAATCCGGTCTGACGAATGACGAGCTGCCGGGCCAAGTGGCGAAGTAACAAACACTCGTCACCCTCCTCCCGCTTCTGCTGCTGCTGCTGTTGCTGCTGCTGTTGCTTCTGCTTCTCTTTCTCCTGCTGCTGCTGCCGTCCAACGCCTTCTTCGCCTTCTTCGCCTTCTTCGCCTTCTTCGCCTCCAGACAAGAGCGGGAGAGAGGCAGACGAGTCTGCACCACAGACGGATAGCACAGAGACGGCGGAACTGAGACGAACTGCTGCTCACGATCGTGGGCCAGACAGAATGACGCTCTACCACCGATCGGCCCAGTTGTTCACAGACTGACTGGCGAGAGGGTCGGCAAAGCGTCGAGAGAGAGAGAGAAAGAGAGAGATAGAGAGAGAGAGAGATGGAAAGAGAGGCTGGAGGGAGGGGCAGGTTGAGCTGGAACCAGAGAGGCAGGCACGGAGAGACGGTGAAAGAGTGATGAGTGGGTGTGGGTGTGGGGTACGGCGGGACGGGGATAAGGGGAAGATGTAGCAGCCAGGGCACCAGAGCCGGGGGTGGGGGGTGGGGGATAGTGACGGCTTGTCTGGGCGCATGCAGCCGTGTCCACAGGTTCGAAGAGTGTACCTGGAGGACGTCTGATGTGTGTATGTCTGGAATTGGATGTCTTGAAAAGGGGACAATTTAATTAAGCAGACCGGCTCCGAGGCGAGCAATGAGCCTGGAGTGTTGGTCGCCATGCGCGTCGCGGAGGCGAAAATAGACACACACACACACACGTAGGGACCGAGAGGGGGGTCGGCTAGACGAGGTGGTTGGCGTCGTCGGGCCGATCGTCCGGCGTCCGGTAGCAGCGGCAACCGCGACGACAGTCGTCGCTACCGTTTGAGGGATCGCGCGCGGTTGGACGGACAAGACACGCCGACAAGTCCACGTCCACGTCCACGTCCGCGTCCGCGCCTGCGTCGGGACTGCACTCAGGTTCCGCCTGCAAGTGGTCACACGGAGCCGGGCTGTTGAGTGAGTTGACCCGCTTTCGGGACAGGCGAGCCGCACGCTGGCCCGCCACCCACTCGCGATCAATGATCCCGGGCCAGCCTCGCCTTGTCTGGTTCAGACAGCCGCGTCGAGCCAATCGGTCCGCCGGCCGCTCAACCAGCCAGCCAGCCACGCCTTCGCGGCTCGCGAGGGCGAGTGTCGCGGCGGCTCGACTGGAGGCCAGCCGAACACGACACGACACGACACGACACGACACGACACGACACGACTGAGGGTCCTCACGGCCGCGAGATGGACGGCTAGCATTGGGCGTTCGCGTCGGCGAGCCCCTCGCGGCAAACACGGCAACACCACACGCAACAACACGTCTATCAGCCGGCGAGTGCGCTTCTTCAGTCACCACGGTTCAGAAAGCAAAAGTGGAACAACCCTGACTACACACACACACATATATGTACATATATAAATACACACAGGTAGGATAAAGCAACGTGTCAGAATGTACACAACAATGAGCATGTAAACACCAGCACCGACTGTGAGCTTATGGTTGCTAAACGGAGCCATCCACGTCTTGAGGCTTCGGAATCGTCGAGACTGAGAGAACAATTTGAGCCAATAAGCGCAAGCAGAGTTCCAGACAGGTACACCGACACCGCGGCCCTTCACCAATCACAATTAAGCATGCCTGTATTTGTGTTTACGCCTGTGTGTGTGTGT